CTTATTTGGTGGTACTAAAGTTTTACAAGTAACCCCGCCTTCTGATGAAGACGCGCTTGCTGGTATGTTTTTTGTAGATCTTTCAATAAAGTCACAAATTTGAAACGAGACTTACTTATGCATTGAAAACATTTTTCTCCTTTAGCCCCCGACAATGGATGTATTGCTTATGTTCTCCGTACGGGCTTTGGAACCGCCCAGGGAAAGCTCGTCCGCACAATGGTGTACAGTACTGAGCACGTTTCAGCAAACAATTTTGAATCCTTCCTTTTTATCCTATTCTTATTGATATTTGCAATCTCAGCTGCATCATATGTTTGGATTAAAGGTAATTCGAGTTTTCATGTTTATTTGTACTTCAACATTTTGATTCGATTGTAGCATTGTTTTATCTTCACCGAATCATCCAGGCGTCGAAAATAACCGAAAGAAGTCAAAACTTCTGCTCGATTGCATATTAATTATTACGTCTGTTGTGCCACCGGAGCTACCAATGGAATTGTCTTTAGCAGTTAATACGTCGCTGGTTGCATTGGCAAAATTTGGTGAGGTTAATGAATAATTGAACTGCTTTTCAACTAAGATGTTATATTGTAATTGACAATTATGTTCAACGAATTTTAGCTATTTATTGCACCGAACCATTTAGAATACCCTTCGCTGGAAAGATTGATGTGTGTGCATTTGATAAAACTGGTACCCTTACCGGAGAAAATCTAGTAGTTGAGGGCATTGCCGGAATTCAGTAAGTTTATATCAATCGCTTACCTTCAAAGTGTTTTATTTCTAATAATTTATTTTCTGAAAATGAATGATTTATAATTTTCAGCCCCGAAGGTTCCAAAGCTCTCGTGAAACCCGTTGATGCACTTCGAGACATAACCGTGCCATTTTAGAGGCTTTCGTACGTGTAAAGAAGATTGTTTTATTGACTTTGCGCTCACAATATTTATTGGCGCCCTATAATAGAATTAAATCAATGGTTTTTCTAGATTTTTTTTGAAGATTCCCTTGACATACATTTTAAATACGCTCGAAATTTCCTCGCGAATCCCAATTCGAAATCTCAGTCGTTCTCGCCAATAGGTTTACGGTTCGATGATTCTGAAAGAATTCTGAATGACGAACAATCGTAGATCGGGAATCGATTGAGACGTTGAGTCAAGACCTTTGAACTGTAAAATGGTGATCCTATTATGTGAAAGTGTGGAATTTTCCTATTGGATGAATTACAATTTAATTTCTTAATTAGTAGCGTAATAAACTGAGCTTTATTCCGAGTAACCGTATTTAGTACCGGGGTCTCTCAGAAGTTTAACATAAAAAGATGATTTTGATTAAAGATACCGTCGAGATATTTTTTTAGTCTCTAAACGCTTCTTGGTGGTTACCTCCTAGAGATCGCCATCTGATATTAAAGGGTCAATAATGTTACAATTGCATTATTTCACAAACTTAAGCACAGATGCCCATGTCACAGGCAATATTAAATTTTTAAAGGTACATAGCCGAATCCTTCTTCTAGAACAACTGCGAACTTTGAAGATCCTCTATTAATCACATGTTTCCCTACAAACACATGCATCTATGATAGTGTACCGACTGCTTTACACGCAAAACTATAGTCTAGCATTACACATTGCGTTGAAATGTATAATAATCAATCTGTACACATAAACGCGCTGCGTAAAACTGTGAAGTTAGTCAAAGCGATCTATATCTACGATCTTGTTTTTTTTTAATAGAACAATGGGTCTAGTATTCAGTTCCAGGATTTAAGTTTTGCTATCGGATAAATGTGACTTTGTCATTAGCAAGTTAGAGTAACTTTTCATTTAAGAAACTTGTTAAGCATAGATCTAAGGTATTCTTTTTCTTCCGTCTTCTTTATTGGTATTAAAATATTATTGTACCGATTTTTTTATTCAAAATTATTTTGATCTTAATCAAAGAATTAATTATTGTTCATTGATTGTTTTTTAAATTCTCATATTTCTATTTTAGTGTTTTTTGCTTTTGTATTGTGACATAATTTTGAAACCTTTTATTATATTTTGGATATTCTTTTTCAAAAATGGTTTTATTTTTATTTATTTTTTTATTTTTTTAAATCCTTTGTCAAGCTAGATATGTGTGATTTATTAAATTTTTGTATACTATATATTATAAAATATTTCATCAAAGCTTAATATCTATTTAACTCATTTGTCTCTATTTTATATGTCTCTATTTTATATTTTTCTAAAACTCTAAGTACAACTTCAAAAGTGATTTATTGTTCCATTAGTAGTTCAGATAAAAATCTTTTCAACTGCTAACATTATTGCCTACAAAAAACATACCAGCAAGCGCGTCTTCATCAGAAGGCGGGGTTACTTGTAAAACTTTAGTACCACCAAATAAG